CCGAATCTCTTTCTGTGGTGATAGAGAATAAGCTGAAGCAGCTGGAAAGCATCTTTTCTTGGGCCATTCGCTGTATCAACCTGTAATGTATACTTAGATGCTCTTTTGCCTGAGTTGTTTTGATAAGTTGTCAAAAATCCACATTTTGCCTTTGCAGTGATAAAGTACAGAGAGAACAGTGTGAGCACCTACAGCAGTCTCCTGAAAGGCAGGTGGTCTGGTAGTTAAAAGCTTTGTTAAACATAAAATGTGCAATATCTATTTGTTGTGGATCTGATGGTAATTAAGAGTAATTTTTGAGGCAGTCATTGGCATAAGTCACTCTGTATCCTCACTCAATACTCCTGTGAAGTGGATCTAGCTTGCTGTCAAGTTGTACACTGCAATAATGGGCACTTGTTTTTTCTCCCATCCACACTGCATGGCTAGAGTGAAAGCACTACAACTGCATATATACCACATGTAGAACCCATGCCAGTTCATCCCAGACCATTCCCAGCTCTCTACTTGGAGCAGGTCTAAGTGAGTTTAATAACAAAGCAGCTGAAGGTAGCTCCCCGGGGCTGGTGGCTTATCCTCACTGAGTTTTGCACCACCTCCCAAGTTCTAGCAGTGTTAGCAGCTATAGGGATACTTCATTAATTCTGAAGTCGCATGGTTTAAGCAACTGTCTTTATGCAGTTGGTGGTGCAGTTACTTAAAATACTAACATGTTTTGCCCTGTAAGCTAAGAATTCTTGAAATGGAGATCCCGTAGCTGCCAAGACACTTCATGTGATGATAAAGGTTTAGATCTCATGTGGATTAACAGAAAGGAAATAGTGGTGATAGGACAGAAGTCTACTATCCTTGCCTACCCACAGTCTACAGTATCTGGAAAGGGATACAAAAATGACAACTGGTGCTCTAAACTTGCACTGCATTTTAATACACCAGAAAAAATTCCTATCACTGAATGTACTTAGACAGTGACCAAGCTGTTGCCCTCAGCCCACCGTTGCATAAATAACATAAAGTATCGTTTGGCTTTCGTTTGTTTTGCAAACTAAGTAATTTATGAATGGCAGCTGTGAAATGGCAGTTTTGTTGGCCATTTCTACAAAAGAAATTATAGAAAAGATGTGCTAGGTAATAAGACTAACATAAAAAACATCAAATTTAAACTAATTGCAAACACTTTACATTATGATCGAGATAGAAGGCCAAGTGTATCCTGGGCTGCATCAAAAGAAGTGTGGCCAGCAGGTCAAGGAAGGTGATTCTGCCCTTCTACTCCACTCTGGTGAGACCTCACTTGGAGTACTGCATCCAGCTCTGAAGCCCTCAGTACAAGAAGGAGATGGACCTGTTGGAGCAGATCCAGAGGATGGTCACAAAAATGATCCAATGGCTGGAGCACCTCTCCTGTGAGGACAGCCTGAGAGAGTTGGGGTTGTTCAGCCTGGACAAGAGAAGGCTGCGGGGAGACATTATTGCTGCATTTCTTAAAGGGGGCCTATAAGATGGGCACAATCTTTTTAGCAAGGCCTCTTGTGAGAGGACAAGGAGTAGTGATTTTAAACTAAGGGAGAGTAGATTTAGACTGGATGTAAGTAAGACTTTTTTTTTTACAGTGAGGGTGGTGAAACACTGGAACCGTTTGCAGAGTTGGCAGAGGCCCCATCCCTGGAAACATTCAAGGTCAGGTTGGACAAGGCTCTGAGCAACCAGATCTAGTTGCGGTTGTCCCTGCTCACTGCACGGGTTTTGACTGGATAACCTCTAAAGGTCCCTTCCAACCCAAAGCATTCTGTGACTCTGTGATCTGATCTCTCTTGCCTCTGGTTTTGTGCAGGTCATTTGAGAGTATGGCTGAGTACTTATTTTACAAGGAATTATACCTTAACAAATTGATTTTATAATTATTATTGAAGTTATTGTAAGGATAGGCTAATTACGTGAAAATAAAATGCCTACTAAGCCATGTTTTTCAGAAAGTATTCTCCAACAAAAGAACCTTTTGGTTTATTAGCAAATGAAAATAGCTCAAGAAATATAATGCAAGGCAGTTTCCTTTTTGTCAGACTACTTCCACTCAAGTTTATAAACCAAAGGAATTATGTACTATACTTACTAAGCTAGTACATAAAGCACCCCCTTTTGGCATCTCTTTAAAAAACGAGGAATAATGAAGAGATTGAGTTTGGTGGATTTGTCCCCAGCTGCATGGCAGTGGTGTGCCAGCAGCTCCGGTGTCTGTACCGGCACTTCATTGCCCTGATGTCTTGCTCTTTGTTCATCCAGACTTTCCTCTTGTTCTGGCAATTCAAATAAAGCTGCTGTTTTCCTAGGGAAGAAGGTTTTTGCTTCTCTCTAGGTAAATCAGATTAAAGAAGAAACTGTAGCAGGCTGTGGAGTTGTTTTGTGTGGCAGTCAGGGTGGTGGCACATGAAGCATTTGTCTCTCTTGGGAAGCACAGCCTGAGCTCTGGATAGGGCTGGGTATCAACGTTTCTTTTTCTGCCGATGTCGGTAACTAACTCTGTGACCCCTCTGTCTGTCAGTTTACACATATGGAAACATTTTTCCACCTTTCAGAGGTGTGGTGGGGATTAATTTAACTTTACAAAATGCTTTTTGATTCCCAACTGAAAGCTACTGTAGGAGCTCAAAAATACACTGATGAACCAGTAGTGGCTGAAGACCTTTGATGTGTGTCAATGTATCTGTCAAACAGCTCATTTGACAGTGATTTCTTTTTGCTTACCCTGACTTTAGGACTAAGCCAATCCTGTGTATTCCTTCTCTCTCTAGGTCTTTCTCCCTCTCTCTCTTTTGCACGCCAACCAAGTTTGGAATAAAATATCTGCTGAATAAATAATTAAAATACTTGGTTTTCAGAGGTTTCAGTGTGCCCAGTATGTTATGCTGCCAGTCTCAGTATACTGACAGTCTTCATTAGATGAGCATTGCGGTAAAGCCACGTGCTAGCCACAGATAGGGCACAGAAGGGGCTGCCTTCTAGAATAGTTCTTCTATGCCACTTGGAAACGCTGTACCATTTTTGCTAGGGAAAAACAAATGAAGGATGGAAGAGTGGCAGTAGACATTTGTGATTAATTGTATGGCCAGGTGGCAAATGCATTGCTTGTAGCAGTTCCCCGTCTCCAGTGTTCGAAATAAAAAACATAAGTTAGAAGTGTTTTCTTCAGCAGTGTTAGTATTTTAGCGCTGGCTTCCATTCTCTCTCACAGCTTTTCACAGAAAAGGTTTAAAGTCCTGTGGTTTCTGTTTCAGTGTGTTTCTCAAGTTTCCAGCTTGTACCACAGTTTTTTTGGAAACTGTATCTGAGAATATTCTACTGTAGTTCTTTGTTACATGTTGAGAATATTTTCACTGAAATCTCTAGCGTCTCGATATTAATCAAGTTACATTTCCTTTATATGAAAATGTTGATCTTTTGTGTTTTCCCACAGCAAATGCATTTAAAGGCTTGGACTTGGCTAACCTAGCAAATGGGATGTTGCTTGGGAGCACAAGGCTGAAATTAAGTGAATGTAAATTAAACTAAGTATTAAGCAAAAAGCCCTAACAGTGACACCTCTAAGGCTGCGGTACAGCCTTCCAAAGAAAGCAGTAGATGATTCACCGTTTCAGACATTTCAATCCCATCTAGAAAGCTGTAGTAAATATATTGTAGGGAACATTCCTGCACTGGCAGGGGGGTAGACTAAATGAGCTATTACCAGTAGCTCTTTTCCATGTTTGACTGATAGTTGGCTAGGAACATGTTTAGGATAGTCGCCAATTTTTCTTCCTTTTTTTTCCCTCTTGGAGAGCACTGGTGACATTGGCAGAAGAACACTTCCTGTGTTTGAGAAAGGTTTGTGTGGCAGAGTTGTCCCAGAAGCAGGCTGTTTTCAGAGGAGGCATACACAATGATAGCCTTAATCCTCCCTAAAGCTTTTTTGAGAAAGGGTTTCATAGGATCTGATTCATGTGAGAGGGTGTGGTGGTATTGGAGTTATCTGTGGATTAGCTGCTACACATATTTTCTGGTCTTTTAAATTCAAAGTCAAATGATACTGGATATATTAATAGTGCCATTTTTTGTTTTAGTGTATGATTCATAGCTTTTGATTTTTCTTGAATTTTTTTCCTCCCTTCCCTTATAACCACTGTCCTTCTGGGTAGAAGGAGAATTTTTACAGAATGATTATGAGAGCGAGGTAGTCAGTTCCTCTGTCTGTGTCTGCTGAACTGTCCTGTAAAAAACATCTAATAACAGTACAAATGAGGGAGACGGTGAGTTGCGTTTAACTCAGTTTTTCTGATGTGTTTATGCAAGACTTTTTCCTTTGAAAATACTCATCAGTGGCAGCAGCAGCCACCATAATAGTTATTGACAATTTAAATACTATATAATTTCATCCTAATCGGGGCAGCTGTAGATGATAGAACAGGGAGTGCCCTGACAGCTGGTGTGTGTTGTGCTGGTAACGGTGAGAAAAAGCTGGGCGTGGGGAATTGGAGAGGTATCCAGCACCCAGGAGACTGCTCTGCTTCCCCTGATTATAGAGGGATGTTCGTGCACACCTTACTGTTTCTGTAAGTGTCAAAGCATTGATTTATCTTTGTTATAAGTTTCTGACAAAAATGTAATTGTCTTTCAAACCTGGAAGTGTTGATTATGATCACCACAAAATGTAAACAATGTTTAAAATTTGAAACCCTTTCGAAACAGGCAATATTTTGTCCCCTGTTAATCTGATAAAAAAGCAATGGGCAGGGAAACATTGAAGAGGGGCACCAGATCAAAGCCTCTGTACAGAATTATTCTCCATGACTCATTTTCATGTAGAGGGACAGGTCTTAATGTGCAGTAAATTGCAATATGCTACTGCTCTTTGATCTACTAAAACTTTGCTTACAGTAAAGCTGCAAAATAAAAACCTGGCTAGCTCTGAACTTCCTCTCTTCTCTTTACCTAATTTTTTTTTCCTTCCACCGTATGATGTCTAGGGACTCCAGAAAGCCTCGCTGAGAAAGAAAGGCAGCTCATGGGTATGATCAATCAGCTGACCAGTTTGCGAGAACAGCTGCTAGCAGCTCATGATGAACAGAAGAAACTGGCTGCATCACAGATCGAGAAGCAACGCCAGCAAATGGAGCTGGCTAAGCAGCAACAAGAACAGGTGAGTGATTATTATAGTGGCTTTCAGCTTAAATAATTTTCTAGGAGGACTTTCTAGTAGCTTTTCTTTTAGGGTTGATACTTCTCAACTATTTTTTTTTTGTTCCACACAATTTTTTTTCCATTTTTTTTTAGGTGAAGAAATTTGAATTTGAAAAAAAAATAATTCTGTTACAGTGCTTTAATTTACAGTATATAAAATAGTGCTCTTTGTGTTTTTAAAGATGCACCTTCCAGTTTGGAGGTACTCTCCTCCAACGGTGTGTTTAAAAGAATTAAGTGTAAATAAGCATACAAATTCAGCCCTCCTCAATCTGATGCTGCTTGAATTGAGTGACGCTAAATAGATATAAAAGGAACAAAATGCCGCCTTTGGATTGTCATATGACAAGTGAAAAAGGTTGGTTTTGCCACCTGTGCAAAAAAGTGGGGGAGAAGAATGTAAAGTCAGTGAACAAGTGTGACTTCTATTTGAGAGGCTTGATTTTCAGCTCATGCAAACATGCCCTCTACTGAAAATGCAAACATGTTTTCACACATGAACTGTTCCAACATGCGCACATGGGCACATGATATTTTATGCAAGAATGCAACTTTTCTAACATATTTGCTCTCTGCAGGTTTTAACAGAAATGAATGTACATTTCTGGACCTGAACATGAGCAGAGAATACTTAGACAGCTGATTTAAAATCTTGTCAGGAGTCTATCAGATGCCTCTTATGTAAAAATGTTTTGGTCTGCCTGACCATTTATTTCAGCATGTAATGATGTTTAAGTATATATCATAGAATTACAGCTATGGAAATTTTATGAAACTCACAGAATTCTTTGAAATCTGTCATAATTGTCATACTTCAATGTTTATATTGTACCAAACAAGTGTTAAGATTCTGAACCACTGCTGGCATCTTCAGACATTTTAGCCTTGGTTTTCCCTGGTTTTGCTTATTAATATTGCTTATTTTGGACTCACACCTGAAATCCCACATAGGGAGAACAGGAGAAGTGGCTTACCTATTGAACTAGAGCATTTGTGTCACACTGTTTTTTATGTAGAGAAGGTAGATGAATGTGTGAGGTGGAATTGTCAAGATTCTTCCATGAGAAGACATCCTGCAGGAGCTATTTCTTACCTTTTGTCTTACCTTTTAAAGTCACTACTGCTACAGGGTGGCTGAACAGTTGGAAAGTGAGAAAGAAAAGAGAGGGAATGGAAAAAGGCAGTAAGAAATCCTGTAGGATTATTATTATTAGGTTAGCAAGAATTTATTTTAAATTAAGAAATTGTGTGTAATTTTTGTTATATAGAAATTAAACTTTAAAAAAATGTATTTGTTAAAATTAGTTTTGTTTCTTTAAAAGAGGCTCTAGAAAGAATACAGTTATTTAATCTTTTAGATGTGGAGTTAACGATGAGTGATTGTTTCTTATGCTAATAGTTCAATAATAGAAATGAAAGAAAATACCTAAGAGGAAGAATGCACAAAATTCCTCCCGTGAAGTATGTACAAGTTCCCATCTGACCCTGAGATGTGTACACATACCACAGGGGAAGAGCAATACTCCTTCTCGTGTTTGTACTGCTGTGCTAGCTATTCATGAGAGCAGAGCTTTTGTGACAACTCAAAGGAAATTTTTTCAAGTTTGCTTTTTCAGTTTGAAGTATGTAATGGGTTATCTCCTCTGAGGGCTCTAATTTGGTTCCATTACTGTCTGCTTTTTCCTTTACCATATGTAAAATGTGTCTAGAGTTAGGCTCCCAATCATTTGGTCAATGGAGAGGGAGGTTGGAAGTCCTTACGGAAAACACGCATGAGTTTGAGAGGAAACTTAGAACTACTCCATCAACTTCCGTACATCAGTTTCAGTGCTGAGCTATGAGCTGACAGACAAGTTGAAGAGTCAGTGATTTTCCCAAACCCAGCTCCAGTCTCTTTGTGTCTGTTTCTGTATCAAGGAAATATGCATGCAAATAACTTTCTTCTGGGTGTCAGATTTTTTAATTTTTATTTTTTTTTTAGTTTTTGAATAGGTGGTGCTAAACATTAAAAGAATATTACTGTCAATACTACTTATTTGCCTTTCCTGCCTTCTCCTACTATTTTCCAGCTTCTCTGCCAGTATTGTTCTTCCTCCAGCAAGTTGGAACAAATGAGCACTCACTTTTTGAGGATTTAGTAGTGCCATTTCAGATAATGAGAAAGGAGAGATTTTTGCACCAGTCCTCTTAATATCCAGCACAGCATTTTCCATAAGATTCCTTTTCACACTAGTATTAGCTGTGAACTGCTCCTGAACATGAGCTCCTTGCTTCAGCTGCAGTCCAGGCTGCAGCCACCCGCATTTGAAGGTTTCTTAGCTTAATAGAGGAGTTTAAAGAATGAAACAGGGTGGAAACTTCTTATGTGCTGACTCCAGGAATGATGATATGTATCTCACATTTCTTCTGTGCATTTTCTTCACAGATTGCAAGACAACAGCAGCAGCTCCTGCAGCAGCAACACAAAATTAACCTTCTTCAGCAGCAGATCCAGGTCAGAGACTGCATCTCCACCCGTGCCCCTGTTTTCTCTCTTTTCTCCTTTCCTTTTCCCCATGCTTCCCCTCAGCCATTATTGTCATAATTCCTTTAAGATCTCTGTAGTTGGCTTACATCTCATTTATGGAAACGCATGAGGATGTTACCTGTCATTAAACAAAAAAGGTTAGTTTCTGGAAGGTCTTGTATGATTAACGTTGCTCCTAGAGGCTCAGGAAGCAGGTGTGAGAGAAGCTGGTCATGTCAGCAAGGGTTTGCAGGACCAAATCCTCTTGCAGCTGTAGATTAGGAGTAGCAAAAACATTGCCAGAAAGAATTGGATTGCAATGGATTTCCTTCAAGTTGATTTTTGAGATTTTGCAGAGCAGCTCTCTTCAGTGATTGGTAATCAAATATCTGTACTTCCCTCTGCCCAGGTGTTGAAAGTCTGGAAGTTTTCAGTGCTTTGGGTGAAGTATTGTCTGAATGAGAAACTGGTCAAAAGGTTGGTTAGATTCAGGAAAGCAAATATGTAGGTTCTAGGTGTCTACAGGTTTACTCTCAGTAGTAGAAAAAAAAGCTCTACTCCTAGTAACAGAAAAAAGTTGTTAATCCAGCATGACCAGTAAACTTTATTTATTATTTTCAGAAGTTTCTTTTCATGCCACTGAGTGTATTTCATTATTTTTCTTCCTTTTGTATATATGCATGCCCCTGTTTTGTAAATAATGCACATCAGTTTGCCCTGGAAGGTTTTCATTGCATAACAAAGGAGGGGTTTGACATTTTACAGATATGCAGAATCATGGTAAAATCTCTGGCTGTTTAAGTATCCAATTCTGTATAGATCATTGCCAGTCACTGTGGAAATGGATGCTCAGTAACTACAGAATTTTCTTTCTAAAGCTTCTCTGTAATGTTTCCAAATTAGTTGCCTAAAGATATGGGCCACAACCATAACTGGTCTAAGAATTAGAGGAGTTGTATGGCTTCACACTAGAAGAAAAATTGGCTTTGTCATTTCAGAAGATACTCTGTCAGTATCAGGACTTGTGCAACTATGAAAAACTTCTGGGGAAGGTCCACCTCCCTGTTATAAGGCAACTTACATAGAAGATGTGATTTGCTGTAAATAACTTTGAGATTGGTAAGGGCTGACTTGACCTCAACCTCTGTATTCTTTTTCTTCTTTAAATTTGTGTGGGAGGTATTTTTATTTGTTGCTGTGTCTTTAATAAGACTTTAAAGCAAAACAATAGTAGAACCTCTGCAATAGCAAGGAAAGTATGTTTTTAGCATTTAGATATGGCAATGAGAGAGGAAGTTGTTTTATAAGCAGTGAATAAAAATAAATTGAAGTAACATAATTTGACCCTAACCCTTTTAAGTTTTAAGACCTTGTAGATAAGAATGAAGTATGTTGTTTTTAGGGTAGTGGAGAACACTGATTATTGATAATGAGATATAAAGCCTTTCATCTCTTTATCCCTGGTCCACGTTTGGCCTAAGTCAGTAGTAAATGAAAGTCAGCTAGCTGCCATCTGATACAGGCTGCAAGCCTAAGAAATGATTTGGAGGCCTGTCTCAAGGGATTTCAGATGAAATACGGACCCTGCCAAGGTCAGAATTTCACCTCCAGGGTCCACTTCACACAAAACCTATCAGATTTGGGGCACCCTCCTTTTGGATGGTCACATGATAAAGGTCAAGAATTGAACAGGCAGAGAGACAACACTGTCCTCTCATTCCCACAGAGATGACCAATTTATGGTGAAATTTTGATTATCTTGCCTGCCTCTTGACAGTTCTGTGGTCTGTATGGATGTGTAGTCTCACGAACCCTGGTTGCAGTCCAACTACTGTGAAGTCACTGATCGGAACACTTAAAAATATATTAACTTAAAACATATTAACAATGAATACAAAGAAAAACATTTCTTCTCAGATGTATACTTAATTGACTGTTGTCAGAGAGAAGAAACAACTCCTGAAGAAATCTCTCTTTGTATGTAAATAGAGGCGATAAAGTCACTCTAACATGCCCATGTATAAAACGGTCTGTGAATTTACAGTAAGGTTATGGTAGGTGGAACGAAACTGTAACATGAATGTAGCTGTAAGTTCAGCTTTTCTGACCTTGCGCTAATTAATCTAACAGGCTTCTGTCACATTGGCCCGGAGTTTTTAAATAGCATTAGATTTATTGACAAGAAAATACTCCTATGAAGTCTGGATTACTATTTGACTTATGTGCAATTGAATGATTAGGCTGCAGTTACAAACACAACCTATTTATGACAAAGGATTCGTTTTACTTGAGCCAATTTTTTCTAAGCTTGTAAGAGGTGCCATAATTCCAGATAAATTATTACACAGAAAAAAGCTATTGAAATATTGTATTGAAAACATAATACTCTAGGGTTAAAAAAAAGCACAACCTAACTGACCCCATGATTTATGACTCCTTTCTCTTAAGTATGCTAACTTGAAAACAGTTCCCTTTCTCCTTACCACAGCATACAATCACCGACACACATACAATACATAAGCAAGGAGAGACTGCAACCTTCCTCTCCTCCTCAGAGGACTGCAAATGCTGAGTGTACCTACAGCTCAATGACACCGGCCACTTCTGTGATGCTGAAGAAAGATGCGTTAGCTACTTGAGTTTAGAAAAATGTACCTAGCACATGAGTGTCTAATTGACTTTGTCTTTTTCAAGTCCATCTCTTCTGTATTAACTGAGAGGAGGTGTCACTAATGCAGAAGACAACCAGCTTGTCTTCATATAGATAGTTAAGTAAAGAGATAATGCTAAAGTGGAGAAAAGTTGCAGATTAGATTAAATTTAAGAATCTGTATAACCTCAAAATGCTAATATATGATCTATACAGGAATTCGTGTTTTGGGAAATGGTCATAATATATTTTTTTCTGCTTTTCAGTCTGTTCTAGACCTAATTTATGAAGAGGTTTGAGTTTCTCTGAATAATTAACTAAAGCTCCCCCCATCTTATTTTATGCCACTGTGGAATGCATCCTCCAATGCACACTGCTTTCTGTTCCATTTAATCTTCATGTGTATGTGTCTGGAAGAGGTTTTTGCTTTAACAGTTTCTGCCTGCTGAGTATTCAGGGTCTTCTCCCCTGCACACTTTGGTCTTGCTATTTTAACAGAAGTGAAATGGGAATGTACATTCGGTCCTGTTAACTCTCATGCATCAACAGCCCCGAAGATCTCAGGTTGTGTTTCAGAACAGCTCCATAGTGATCTGCAGCTGTAGAACAGGCTGAGGAAGGAGCACGCAGACACCAAGTACAGTTCAGCAAGTCCTTGGACTAAATCTAGTTTTTTCCTCCCAGGCCTCAGGAGAACTGTCACAGTGACCTCCTCATCTTCTTTTGTGCAGACACCATCTACTTTCTGGTGTCATTGCTTTAGAACATGGTGAAGTCTGGGGCTGTGTAGCTGTCCCATCAGGTGGGCTGAGAGTGAAAGCAACTTGAAGGCTAGATGGTCCCTTTTTATGACACTGAGACACTCTCCTGTGCAGGCAATGGGAGTGCAGGCAACGGGCGTGCTTGTTGGTGTACCTTGAGGGGTACCTCTGAGATAAAAGTGTTGCGATGTGGTGCAGTTTACACTTTACACTTGCTCAGAGAGTAAGTCTAGCCTAGGTTGGCGATTAAATAGTTTGCTTTGAAGTTCAGTGACAAATGTCACTTTAATTGAACTATATTTAAAATGAAATATGGTTGTTAAAATTCATAAAGCAATTCGTATTCAGTAGGGCACTGTTGATAAAGTAGGTCAACCTTGCAGCCTAAATTGTGATAAAACTGATGCTGCTAATCTCACAATTTTGGTAGAAACTCTGACAATGTTTTATGTTTTTCCCTCAAGCCCTAGCTCTTGGAGTCATGTGATGACAAAAATGCCAGCTTTCATTTCTTCAAAATGTAAACTTCCAGCTCTTGTATTTCCAGGCAAAATCTGAAACCACAAGCACTACAAGTTCCAAAATTAGAAGGCAAACAAAATGGAGGCCAAATGTTGTTTTTTAAACTGTTCTGATTTTTAGTCAAAATTTTTTTTGGAGAGCCCAGCTCAAGATCTTGGAACACTTCAAGTTGCCAGTAATGTAAAACTAAGATCTCAAAGCAGCAAAAAGCAACAGTGCTGCTTTACAATGTCTCTAACATTTGAGCCACAGTTTTGTTTGACTTTTTAGATTTATACTGCCAGTACTTGGTTACTAATTTGTATTCATTTCTGGATGATGTCCGTAGGCCAAGAACTGAGTGCTATCCGAAACTTGAGAGCAATTCCTGCCAGACAGCAATCGTTTGATGGCTTTGTGTTTTAATAAAGAGTTTTCTTTTTCCTTCAGAGGTAAAGACTTTTCAGCAGATGCTCTAGTGGGACACCTTTTCTGCTGGAAAGTTTGGACCTCTGAAGAACAAGAGGATCCTGACTAAATTCTGATGCACAGCTAGAAAGGCACACCTCTAGCCTGTTCTACCTACCAGGCAGGATGTGTCTTCTGCCTGGTGCCTGGCCGGTGGTGCGGGCATGCCAGGAGGGCCTTCTCCCAGGCAAAAAGCTTACAGTGGCCTGGATGGCCTCAAGCTCACAGACCCTCAGCAGCTTGTCTGGCAGAATGTGTGGGCACCATAGCTCCCCAGTCTCCATGCACCATTGGCCTGCAGGCTTCCTGGCTTTCCTGAATCCCTCAGCTGCCCGGGGTGTCCTCCTGGCTCCAAACAAGGCTTTCCTTTGTGAGTCCTGATCCAGATTTCCATCCTCCCCACCCGCAGTCAGCTGGCTGTGTCCCTTTCCCCATGAGTTGTGTTGGTAGATGGAGAGGCCTGGCTCTGGTAGTGTGTTCCCAAATCAGAATATTCCCGTTCTCATTAACTTCTGAGCTTTAAGGTGTTGTTCCAATTTGGAATGTAATAAAATCTTGAACACTTGGAATTTCCTGCAGGATGGTTAGTGCCTTTTATAGCCAGATCT